TTTGGCCTCTGCGGGTTTGCTCCGCGTAGTCTGACACTCTAGTGTTTGGTATGTACCCATTCAGGATTGCCATGTCTTCTGGTAGGTGGGCCTTTCACCTCCACGCAAGGCTGCTCTGTAGTAGTTCTTCTGCTTTTATTGGAGATATTAACTTTATTTTATGAGTGTTTGTGGAGCTTATCTCTTCTCATTCTTTTTCCCTACCAGGATAGAACTCAGGGGCACTTGACCACTGAGCCACATCCCCAGTCCTTGTATGTATTTTATTTAGACAGGGTCTCACTGAGTTGCTTGGCCTAATGCTATTGCTGAGGCTGGCTTTGAACTCACTGTCCTCCTGCCTCAGCCTCCCAAGCTGCCAGGATCACAGGTATGTTCCAACACTCCTGGCTTGAGTGTGTCATTTTATTTCAAGTGTGTTTGCAATTGGCTATTGAAACATGTTTGTGATGTCTGCTTTAAAATCCTGTGGATGATCTCAGCACCTGATGCATCTTGCTGTTGTCTTGCTCAGGTTGGGATTTTTCTGGTTCTTGCTTTGACGGGTGACTTTTTGCTCACCCTTGATGGTTTGGGTCTGGAGTCTCTGGGCCCAACCTCAGCCTTTTATCTCAGCGTCTCGCTGCTGAGGTTGGCACCAGGTCCTGGCTTCTTCTGAGACTGTGCTTCTCAGACAGTTTACTGTCCGGGTTTCTGGGGTCACCTTGGTGTGTAGGTGTGCGGCTGGACTTTACTGTTCTTGCTGGTTTGCCCAAGGGGGAGAGCCAGGGCTGGGGGCTCTAGGGCCCTGCCTGGACGGCACTCTCAGGAAGGAGGCCGGGCACCCTGAGTGTGGCAGTTCAGTGCAGTGCAGGCTCTCAGGTGCTCTGTGCCCAGTTGCCTGCTCTGCAGGTGCCCTGCCCGCTCCTTAGCCCACCCTCCGCCTCCTGCCTGGACAGCGAGTAGAAGCTGGATGGTATCTGCAGGTCCTGGAGGAGAAGTCAGGTGCCCACCTACCAGAAGACCACCTGTCTTCCCACCGGCTGGGATGCTAACTTATAGACTGTGGTGACTCTGAGCCCCGAAGCCAGGGTCCATCTGGGGATGGTGGCAGCCCTGCCCTGTTGTCCGGCTGGAATACCACCTTCTAAGATGGTGTCCACTTCTGCACGTCCTTCAGTCCCCAGTGGTGGCCTCCACAGAGGCGATGGATTTACAGTGGCTGCATCTCATCACTCTTAAGCCACCAGCCTCTCCTTCCACGACAGCCTCTTTGGCCTGTTCCTGCCCCATCACAAAATCACCCCCAGTGGACCTTTGCCTACCTGGGGCTCCTGTGTTCTGACGAGCAATGGGACCCTTGCTCCCTTCTCCCTGAGAGGGGGGTGGGCCGGGGCTCCTGAATGCTCCTTTGTGGATGAAGGCTGAGGGCCACATTTGGTCAGGGGCGACCTGGGTGCCTGTAGTGTTGGCGCACAGAGCCGGCTCAGCAGAGTCTGGCTCAGTGTTGGAGGCTGCTCAGTGAGCCAGGGGCAGCGCGGGCCCTGGGGGACAACGAGTGGAGTGTGGGGTCTGTCCAGCCAACATCTTCCCACTTTCCCCCTGGTCTGCAGAAAAACTGAAGCAGCCAGAAGTCAGGTCTGAGTCCCTCTCCCAGCCACAGGCTGCCTGGGGCTGACCTCGAGGGCCATTGGTGCCATGCTGGCTGGGATAGGGCCATCTCCCCTCCCTGGCCCTGTCCTTCCCTTGCTGTCTCCATGGCCATGACTGCTACCAGAGGCCCGTGGACACAGCTCAGCCACACATCCTGGGCCCCAGAGGGGAACCCACCAGCTCTCCGCCCCGAGTGTGAATACTGTCCACCAAGGTACCCCCTTGCTTGGCCAAACCCTCCTCTGCCTTCGGATGAGGCATGATTCCTTCAGTTCTCCGCTGGTGTCTGGGCACTATCCTGGTACCCCTCCAGGCTGTGCAGGCTTGGGTTCAGATGTCCACTTCAGTCCATGGGTCGTAGTTGTACATGGACAGAGTGGGAGGAAGAAATGGACCCGGGCCTGCACCCGCTCTGAGGAGCTTCTGCCATGTTTCCAGGAGCCTTGGGCATGGGGTTGGGTGCTGCCCCCCGCTGCCCGGCTCGTATGTGGCAGCGCCACGAACCCTGCAGATCAGACTGAACCCTGCATCACCCAGAGCTGGGCCCAGGGCACGTCCCAGGTAAGGCCAAGGTAGAGGGACGGGCCAGGGACAAGTCCTGTGAGGGCCAGGGCATTCCAGAAACAGGTTCCAGATCCAGGAGGCAGATCCACGGGTGGTTTATTTTCCTGCAGGTCTGGTTGATTTGGTTGTTCTAAGGGATCCAGGACAGTGTTCAGAGGCACTGGTCCCTGAGCAGGAGGTTGCTCTGGTCCCCTGAACCCAGCCCTGTGGCTCCCACAGGTGTGACGATGAGTTGCGTGGCAGTAGACGGAGCAGGGGCCTGGGCTGCTCTGCCTGTGCCCAGCAGGGGAATCCCAGCTTGCCACCCTCTGGAGTCGGGCAGGCTGGATTCAAAGTGGGGGTGTCCACACGCCAGCATGCAAGACGGGATTGCGCTGCCACCTCGGCCTGGGCTCATCAACGTCAGGCCCTGTCCTGACTCAGGGCAGGCAGTGGCCTCCCTGACAGGGCCCAGAACTAGGAGAGGAAGCTGCCTAGCTCCTGGGGCCACAGAGAGGCTGGTGGGGACGGGGACCCTTGAGTCCACTGTGAACACAGCTGGGTCCCCAGTCTTCTGGACGAGGTGCTCCTGTCAACGCAGGCACTCATGGACCTGAAGCCAGGTGGAAGGGGTCACCAGTGCCCCTGGTGCAGGGGCAGAGATGGCTCCAGGAGGTGCCCAACCTGGCCCTGGCCCCAGGAAGCACAGTCTTGGGGGTTGGACTGGATTCAAGCCCCCCTCATGCTGCCCTGGGGCAAGGGGACCAACCACAGGGCTGCCACATCCAGTGAGGACACTGGCAGGCAGGCTGACCGGCCCAGGGCTCAGGGCGCAGTGGCGGGAGACTGACCTGATTTGGAGTGTGTCTGAGGCTCCTTGTCTTATCAGCCACCCTGAGCGACTCCTTCACCAACTGCCCCTGCCACTGGGAGAGGCAGGTGACCGGTAGAGCTGTCCAGTCCCAGGAGGTCAGCAGCCTGCAGCAGCCCAGCCCAGCCCTCAAGAGGCTTGCTCAGCCAGCTGACCTGGGGCTGCCTGTCTGGTCAGCGTGTTGCCCCATAGACCTTGGGCAAGAGCTCCAAGGGGACAGGGAACCTCCTAAACCCCATTCCCCACCCCAAGGCACCAGGGAACACCCACAGTGAATCATGTCCCATTAGGAAGCACCTGGATCTGCTCCCAGCCCCGCCCCCCACTCTGCCCTGCCCTGGAGCCACTCAGGGTCACCGAGCCTTGCTGGTGAACCCACTGTGTTCAGGGCCATCTCCAGGCTGCCCTAGGGGCTCGGCTCCAGCACCTTGATGCACATTCTTGGAAAGACATTCTCAGAGGAAAGGCTGTTGGCTGCTATGGCCATGGGGTGCCATGTCCCTGCCAACCGAGCTGCTCTGTCCCCACTCCAGAGGAGAGCTCTGCATGCCACCTGTGCTAGCCAGGGCAGCCTACATGGCCCAGATGTCGCGGTGGCACGGAGGTGTGGTGAGCTGGGCCTGCACTGAGCCCACACTCAGGTGACTTTGGAGCAGCTGCTCTCTCAGGGACTGTCATCTAAGGCCCCTCCTGCCCCAAGAGTGAGACAGGAACTCTGAATTTGGGGTCGGGTGGTTGGAGGGAACAACTTCCTTTATCATTTGGGGGACGAAGGGGTCCCCAATACTATGACTTCATCCTGTGCCCACTGTAGATGCCTGAGGCCATCCTGCAACTCCACCCATGCCAGCCATCCCAGGGTCAAGCACCCCACCTGTCCCCAAAGCTATAGAACGTTGGGACCTCGATGGCCTTTGTGCCACAGGCCCACTGTGAGCAGGAGACCCTCATGGCTGTGGCTGTGGCCTTGTGGTAAGGAAAGACAAGGCTGTGGGTTGGGGCCTTTTGTCCCCAGCCTCCGCCTGGCCTTGGGATGACGGGAATCCCCTGACTCTTCCCAGGCACAAGGACATTATCCCCCAGGGTGGCCTTCTTCTGGGGATAGTGTCACTTATTTCCCTCTAAGTCCAAACAGGAGCCAGCGTGTCCCTGGGGCTGGACGGTTCCTGGTGGGACTATAGTGGGAGGGATCTGGGGCTTGGGCCAGGCTGGCAGCCAGCGTCAGCAGCACTTCCCAGGTCTGTCTCTTAGACTCATCAGAGGCCAGCCCCGAGGACAGCTATGCCAGGGAGGGGACAGCCCTGCACATCAGCCAAAGAGTAAGAGGAGCCCACAGCAGCCCTAGGATCAGGTGGGCATTGTCACTGCTTCACCCTCTGCCCCTCACGAGGGCAGTGTCTGCCCCACCCTCAGACACCGCCATCCCGTGCACCCAGCCTGCACACCACCGTCCCGGAGGGTGCACCCGGCTGGAATCAGCGAGGTGCCTCAGCGTTGCTGGGGGCTCCTGCTTTCTCGCTCCCCTCTCAGCAGTGCGTGGCAGGGGCACCCGGGGGCTTTTCTTAGGGGGCTCTCGCAGGTTCAGACAACAGCAACGTCGGACCCTGATACCACGCAGTCCTGGGACAAAGGCTGGGCACTTACAAGGTGCATGCTCTGACTGGTGCCCAGCTCTGGGTCCTGTCCCCACCCACTCACTCCCCTCCCCAGGCTGCCAGGCCAGTTCAAGGGGACGTAAAGCTCGGGGGCTCCACATCTCCTCCTGGTCCCTGGAAGGGCGGGCGCTGCACCCCCCAACTCCACCGGTGCCTCCTGGGACCCCTTCTCTCTGGGGAAGAGCTGGGCTTCAGGAAATGAGGTGGAGGCCTCCCTTTCCCTAAGTGAGATTCCTCCCCTCCCCTCCCCCAGGCAACACACGGAGACCAGGCGGAGACCAGGCCAGGAGGGTGCTGCAGCATTTATTTGGAGTCAGGGAACTAGTCCAGGGGGCAGGAACCCGCAGGGGCAGCTCTGTCAGGCAGGGTGCAGATGCTCCGGTGGCTGGCTGGGATCAGCAGCCGATGGCTAAGGTCCCAGACACAGACGGGCTTTGGCGACAGCCTGGGAGGTGTGAGGGGCAGCACTGAGGACCAGGGGCTGGCCAGGCTCCACAGACAGAGAGCTCCCTCCTGGCCCTGGGAACCTGGGGCTGGGTCCCGGGGAGGAGCAGCCAGAGGGCCTAAGGGGCAGCCCTGCTCCAGGGTGGCCGCTCAGGAGCCAGCACCCCCCACCATGGTCCCCCCCAGCTCTGTGCAGGCCGCACGTGCTCCGTGCTCCGTGCTCAGGGAGGATTGGCGTGTGGGAGAGCCCCGTGGACGCTGATGCCAGAGTCGGAGGCCGGCTGCGGAGACAGAACTCGGGCCACTCCCTGCCCGGGCCCTGGGTCTTCTCAGCTGGGAGGTGCTCAGAAAGTGAACTGAGGACAGGGGAGGGCTCTCCACCCTGAGAGAGGAGCTGCCAGCCCGGGGTGCAGATGGCCCCCGGAGACTGGACCAGACAAGCAAGTGGCTCCCCTCTTCTCAGAGGAGGCCGCCCTGCCGGCAGCCTGGCCTCAGGGAGGAGAATGCATGCTCTGCTTTAAGCCACCGAATCCCTTACAGCTCGGCCAGAAGGGCTTGGTTCTATGGCTTAACCCACATTTATCCTCCTGGAGTTCTGAGGTAGGGGTCCAGAATGGGCCTCCTGGGCTGGCGTCCTGTGTGGGCAGGGCTGGCTCCTCCTCACCCGGCCCCTCGCCCCCCCCACACACCCCCTGTGCATCATGTGGCCCCCTCCTCACTGCACCATGGCCCCTTCTGCCCCACATTTCCCATGATGGAGAATGACCACAGAGGAGTCAGGAGTGACGTCTCAATCCAGAATTTGCACAAAAGCCAACGTGACATTAGTGGACGTGCCCATGACCAGCTGGCCCCTACAGGAGCCTTGCAGTCCCCTCGTGGCCAAGAGACCAGCCATGCACTGGAGCCTACACATGGCCCAGAGCCCTGGCACAGGCATCTGAGAGGGACAGGAGGCAACTCTGTCCACCCACTGCCCGGGTCCTGGGGCTTCTCAGCTGGTGAGGTGCTCAGAAAGTAAATTGAGGCCCCTGGAGAGCAGGAGCCGTCCTCCCCTGAGACCTGCAAGGGGACTGAGAGCACGTGCTGGCCCAGCCAGGCCCCTGCTGAGTATGCCCACCTCCAGGCTGCTCGATGGGCAGAGGGCAGTAGGCTCTGCCTGGGCTGGGCACGGGCAGGGCCTTCCTCCTCTCACCATCTTCTTCCCTCCCTGCCCACGATGACCGCCCTTAACTCATAATAGAAATAGAATCAAGACCCCGAAGGTCACAGACTGCAGCTTTGAAATGCCCGGACCCCAGGGGCCTGCCGGCCTGGGGCCCTGCAAGGACATGCTCATGTGCAGAGGCCTCAGGGCCACTCACCTCAGTGATGGTGGGCCATGCAAGGATCCGGAGGGGCTGAGAAAGAGCAGGAAGAAGTCACTGTGAGATGAGCCCCCACACCTGCACCCCACTGGAAATCAGGGGAGCCAGAGCCGCCGGTCATTACCAGTGTGAGAAGGGGCCATGACCCTGGCTTTGTCCAGTCCTTTACTCTCCACAAACTCCTCGAACATCTTCACCACCTCTGGTTTCTTTTCCATGGTGGGGCCTGCAGGGCATGGGGAGTGGGCGAGGAGGCAGACCCAGCCGGGGCCGGGGGCTGGGAGGGCACCTCCTCCCCAGGCTGTGCTGACCCCTCCCCCGGGGGGCTCTGGCCACTCAGAGGACTCGAGTCTGCTGACCCAGGTCAGGACTGGGGAGCAGTGCGTAGCTACAAGGGGCTTTGGAAGACCCTCTTGGGCAGCCCAGGGCCTGAGCAGATGAGCCTTGTGGAGGCCGAGGCGCCAGGTGCTTTCCCCGTGTGAAGGCCTACAGGAAGGGGTCCAACCGCGCCTCCTGGAGGGCAGACACAACACAGAATTCCCTGCACAGGCATGTCCTGTGGCATGGCAGGCCTTGGGGGGCAGCCCTGGACTTGATACCTGGGGGCATGAGGTAGGAGGAAGAGGAGCCTGCTCTTGGGGACCCCTCCCCCAGAATCAGCCAGCCCCTCCCGAGCAGGACCGCATCTCCCAGCCTGGCCCATAAAAGCCTTTCCCCAAACCCGAGTCCGGGAACATGACGGTGCCCCCCACCAGCCCTGTGGCCGTTGGCTTCTCTGGGGGCTGCTGGCTGCCACCTCAGTGACCTCTCTGCAGGGAGTCCACTCCTCACACCAGCAGCCTGGGCCAGTGTCACCCTGTGCCCCTACAGAGCTGTGCCACCCACAGCCCACCTGCTGTGGACCAGCAAGAGTCAGGACAGTGAATGCCTCTCAGTGCCACGGGACAGGTGACTGAGGTGGGCCAGCATGGCAGGTCCGCGAGGCCGCGAGTACCTATCAGCATCATCATGTGCCTGGTCTTGTCCTTCATCTTCTCCTGGGTGTGCATGATGTAGTACATCTTCATCTTCATGGCCCAAATGTGGATCGCCTGCTGCTTCTCTGGGGGGAAGGACGTGGTCTTGGGGACCAGCGGTTGGGCATATTATTAAGGCCCCAGAGGTGGAGAGAGCAAGAGCGGGTTGTCTCTGCAGTGCCCGATTGTGGCTGCTACCCCCCACCCTGTGCTGGGGCCACGGAAGCCTCTTGCCTGCCTTCTGTGTTGGTTACCAAGCAGCTGCCTGGACCTGAGGAGCCCTGGACGCCCTGCCAGGGCGCAGGGGGGAGAACGTGCCTTGTGGGAACATGCCCAATGCCAGGGAAATGCTGGCCTCCGTCTCATCGGCCAAGGGACAAGGCCAGCCATCTCCCTGCAGCAGAGGCTGAGCCTACAGGCGGGACGGGAGCCCAGGAGGGGCAGGGGCCGGGCAATGGGCAGTGGCATGTCCAGGTCTGCGCTGAGCGCCACTCACCGGCCATGAACTTGGTGGGGTCGTCTGTTTTCCACAGTGTGGTCTGCATCTCCTCACAGTCGCCGGAGGGCTGCCTGGAGCGGAAACCGGACGGGGTGAGGTCTGCGCCCTCTCCTCCCAGCTGAGGTCTCCCATGAGGGAGGAGGGCATGTGCTCCACCTGCCCCTACCCTTTGCTGGCCCTGTCCACAGGCACCCACGTCCCTGGCCTGGGCGACAGCAGCACGGGACACATGAGCTCACACATAGGCGTCTCACCCACGTGCTGGGCCAACCTGAGGCAGCCTGTGGCCCTCCCACACAGGCCCCTCCTGCCGGGCCCAAGTGGGGTCAGTGGTGGGGCCGACAGGCCTGGGCCGGCCACCTCTTTGCACCAATCCTCAGCTCTGCTCTCAGCATCTCAGGGAGCCCCGGGGGCCCTGGGCCGGCAGCTCCCAGCCTCTGTGTGCTTCCTCAGGGTACAAACCTGCCTTGACTGGATGGCAGGGTGGAACTGGCAGGGGCCAACTTTTGCCAACCTACAGTCCCCAGCTGGCCATGCTGGGGCTCAGAGGCATTCGCGCTTCACCACGGTGTCCTGCTGGCTCCCTGGACTCCCAGGAAGCCCCTGGGCTTCCATTCTGTTTCTAGATCTGTGCACCAAGCAGTTCCCTGGAGGCTGGTGCCACCAAGCTGCCCGGGCCTCCTTGGGGCCCCAGACCTGGGGTGGCTGAGGGCACGTCAGGCAGCTCTTGGAGACGCTTGGTCTTGGGCACCACCCTTGGTGCTCCTGGTGCAGGCGAGGCTGCAGAGAACCTCATGAACCTCGTGCCTCCTAGATTTTGGCTGAGCCCAGTGTGAAGCAAGGAGCCACCAGTGACCATGGTTTGTAACCCCAAAGGCCCCAGGGTCTCCACGGACCTCCTAGCAATGAAGGGTACAGCAAACCCAGGCTGCTGAACAGCTTCCCCCGGGAGGGCCTGTGGGACAGGGGCACAGGAAGCAGGAGAGGCAGGGGAGGCTGGCAGCCTTGTTTTTGAGGCTGTGATGTAAAGGCAGCACGGGCGGCAGGCTGCTCGAAGCTGCCAAGCCAGCTCCCCATGGCTGCAGCCTGATGAAGGCAGGTGAGGGGCGGGAGACACCCCTTCCCTCTGCTCAGCGGGGTGGGCGGGGAGAGCCGGAACACCCCTCCAGTCCCACCAGGCACCTACCTGAGTTTTACCTTGATCATCATGCCTTCTTTGGAGAGCTCCATCCAAAAGGGCGGCAGAGAGTGGGTCATTTGTGGTGGCGGGGGGCTGGTCATCATAAGGCCAGGAATTATGGGGCTCCCCATCCAAAGCAGAATGTGCCACTTTCCTACAAGCTGTGGGGATGCCCCAGTGACCAGAGGCCAGGGAGGAGGCCACACCTTCCCACAGCTCCCCACCGTGAGCAGCCAACCATCTTGCCCAGGCAAATCTTTGAGGGTGTGGATGTTCACTTGCGCCTCTGCTGCGTAGGAGGGACCGCCTGGGCCAGAGGCCACCCATGAGCCTCAGGCAGAGTGACCCAGTCCCTCAGGGCCAGGGAGAAGCAGAGGCTGCAGAGTGGGAATGCAGGTGGGCAGAGGGGGGCGCATGGTCCCTGGAGGACGGCAGTGGGGCCTGCAGCTGGCCAGCTCCCAAAGAGGCCAGGGGAAGTGGCCTCTTCCAACATCAGCCAACAGGAGGCATGGGGATCCCAGGAGGTAAGGCTGTGACATGCCCCAGGGGGCAAGAGCCTGGAGACAGGTGTCATCTGGACATTTGTAGACCCATGTCCTTCTCTAACAATTCTGTGAGTTCTTGAAAGTCACAAGATCTTGACAAAATGTGAATTTTATATCCCCCCAATGTGTTGTCCTGGGAAAATCAAAACTCAGAGACACAGTGTTTCCAACAGGCTGCTTCAGAGCTGGGCCTTAGCAGGGGAAGAGAATGTCCCTGCAAGACGAGGGACACAACAAAGCCACCTTCACAGGGGGACCAGACAGGCTCCAATGGGGCTGGACCTCCCCTAGCTGCCCGCTGCCCACAGGAGTGTGCTTGCCCAACCCTACCCAGTGCCCCTGTCTCTAGTAAGGCACCAAGGGCCTCAGCCAACGTCCACCTGGGGCTGGGCCGGTCCGGGAGGGTTCCACTCCCTTCCTGGCCTCCTGGGGTACTCACCTCCTCAGGCTGGGCGGGGAGCAGCTCCATGGCGTGCAGGATGGAGGCCAGGCCCAGGGTCAGCAGGAGCCGCTGCATGGTGGCCGTGCTCTTGCTCTGTGCCCTCCTCTGCTGCCTGGACGCTCTGACGCCCATTTATCCCCCGCCCTGGGCTGGCCTGGCCACAGGGTCATTTCCATCTCACTTGCTTTTCACAATGGCCACCGAATGTCACGGTGAGGTGGGGCCTCACGTCACTGCTGGAACCTGGTGACTACACACCGCACGTCAGGTTCATGCCCTCGGCAGCCTGTTTTCAGAAAGCTCTTCCCAAGGGAGGCGTCATCCAGCCAGAGGGTGAAAACACCCTGCAACCAGGACCCTTCCTCCTCCTGGCCCAGCACCTCAGCCTGGGCCTTGCTGGCCAGTGGCCTCCTTTCTCCACCTCAGGGCCCTGCGTTTGGGGATGGAGGTCTGTTGCTGGCTGCTCCTTCCTGTCCATGGACTTCAGCACATCACCGGGTGTCCCCAGCAGACCCTGTGGCCTTTGGCCCTCCCAGGACTTACAGGTGCTGGCTCGGCCTCCTGCCTGAGGCCCAGGCTCCCATCCCCCACATGTGGAATTGGTCACATGCCACACTGCAGTCCTTGACTCACCCTGATGCCCCCTCAGCCCCCCAGAGCTTCAAATGTCCACAGTCACCTCCCTGCAGTCCTCCTCTTCAAGGCACGGCTTGCAAGCCCTCGTGGGGCGGGGGGTCCCCCAAGATCCCAAGTGAAACCGACCACTCTCTGTGGCTGGGACCACCTGGCACACTGCAAGAGGCTGCCCACCCCCCTCAGGGCCGTAGCAACCGACGCACCCTCCCGGTGAGGCCGGGGTGCTCCTGATCCTCCTGGAACACAAGAACTCAGGAGGCCAGGACGGGGCCACCACAGGGACGTCCCCACCACCGCACTGTCCTGAGCCTCTCCCTCCACCTGCTGATGAGCTCTGAGGCTCTCTGCCTCCACCCAGGGCACAGCAGGAGACTCCAAGGCCACTGGGCCTCAACCACCCCCCACTTCTCAGCCACAGTGTCACGCTGGTGGATGGGGGAAGACGGGGGCTGGCCTTCCTCCCGCTGCCCAGGAGGGAAGCACTTTTCTGGCTCAAGGGGGCAGCCCAGCCCACCCGCCTGGCCTGGCCCGTTTTTTCCGGTTATATCACAATAAACACCATTTTGATCCATGGTTGTGTCACAGAAACAACGGCCTTGGTGTTTTGGAAGCTGTCTGTTGACACTGGTTGACAGATGCCTCTGCAGTAGCCATCCTGGGTGATTCCAGGGGACCACTCAGGCCACAAAAGACAACAGGGCTGCTGAACAGGGCACACAGCACCATGAACGGAGTCAGAGGGAGAAATGAGGGGTGGTTGAAGGGACTGATAGAGGGTGGATGGAGAGAAGGGGGATGGAGGGTGGGTGGGGGACAGAGGGTGGGTGGGTGGGTGGCATGTGGATGCAGGATGATCAGAATGATGGGGTGATGGGGTGATGGGGTGATGGGGTGATGGGGGTGATGGGGTGATGAGGTGATGAGGTGATGGAGTGATGGGGATGATGGAGTGATGGGGTGATGGAGAGATGGGGGTGATGGGGTGATGGGGTGATGAGGTGATGGAGTGATGGAGTGATGGGGTGATGGAGTGATGGGGTGATGGGGTGGTGG